AGCTACATCAGGCCATCTACTGGCACCTAAACCCAGGACACATCTTCTGAAATCTTCTGTGTCTTATAGAGCTATAAAGGAATGGAACTCATTGCCAAACTACCTTACTGAGATAGAGTCCAGAGCCTCTTTCAAGAAGAGATTGAAGGGCCATCTACTAATGACCATGTACCCTTGTGAGCTGTGAACCCTAATTTAATTTGATCGCATGTTGTTGATGATATTGGTGATGTTTTTTTAATGTTTTTAATGTTATTAATGATGTCAGGACTTATGTCCTAAATGTTGCTGTATTATTGTTGTATTGTTTTAAGTGTCGGACCCCAGGAAGAGTAGCTTTTGTCGAGAGCAAAAGCTAATGGGGATCCTTAATAAACATAAACATAAACATGCCTTCCCAGTCCCTTATCACGTACAAGAGCATGGCGCCAGTTGTTGTAGCCAGTTGTGGTGAAGGCATCTGACTTACTTGAACCGAAATGTCTACATGCATAGCAGAAGATTTTTACATGAATATTCCAGCCAATCTCTGTTTTGAAACCATGAGCTGCAAAATCTCTGTACTCCCAAAGCGAGAGCTGTGTCCGGGTCCTCGGCAGTAAGTCGGACCCATTTCCGGTGAGGGTTGGCCTCCGCCAGGGCTGCGCTTTGTCACCAATCCTGTTTGTAATATACATGGATCGGATTTCGAGGCGTAGTCATGGGGGAGGGGGTCTGCAGTTCGGTGGACTAAGGATTGCACCACTGCTTTTTGCAGATGATGTGGTTCTAATGGCTTCATCGGTCTGCGACCTTCAGCACTCACTGGATCGGTTCGCAACCGAGTGTGAAGCGGCTGGGATGAGGATCAGCACCTCCAAATCTGAGGCCATGGTTCTCAGCAGGAAACCGATGGACTGTCCACTTCAAGTAGGGAATGAGTCCTTACCCCAAGTGAAGGAGTTCAAGTATCTCGGGGTCTTGTTCTCGAGTGAGGGAACAATGGAGCGTGAGATGGGCCGGAGAATCGGAGCAGCGGGAGCGGTACTGCAGTCGCTTTACCGCACCGTTGTGACGAAAAGGGAGCTGAGCCAGAAGGCAAAGCTCTCTGTCTACCGGGCCATTTTCGTTCCTACCCTCACCTATGGTCATGAAGGATGGGTCATGACCGAAAGAACGAGATCGCGGATACAAGCGGCCGAGATGGGTTTTCTCCGCAGGGTGGCTGGTGTCTCCCTTAGGGATAAGGTGAGAAGTTCGGTCATCAGGGAGGGACTCGGAGTTGAGCCGCTCCTCCTTCGCGTCGAAAGGAGCCAGTTGAGGTGGTTCGGGCACCTAGTTAGGATGCCACCTGGGCGCCTCCCTAGGGAGGTGTTCCAGGCACGTCCAGCTGGGAAGAGACCAAGGGGTAGACCTAGGACCAGGTGGAGGGATTATATCTCTTCGCTGGCCTGGGAGCGCCTTGGGATCCCCCAGTCAGAGCTGGTTGATGTCGCCAGGGAAAAGAAAGTTTGGGGCTCTCTGCTGGAACTGCTACCCCCGCGACCCGACCACGGATAAGCGGAAGAAGATGGATGGATGGATGGATGGATGGAGCTGCAAAATGAGGGCCTTACCCCACTGTAGGCGAGTTGGGTACTTTTTAAAATATACCTGGGCAGGCTCTGTTTTGCCGAGGTCCTCTGGCACTTGCGGGCCGCCGAGGGGTGGCGGTGTTTGGGGCAACGAAGACGGCTGCTCCGCCTCCGTGGGCGAGGCGGGCAAAGCCGGTGAGTCGGGCGGGAGGACGTTAGGGCCCTTCTCACTTCGGTTAAATGGATTCCTTGCGTCCCTCACTTGCGTCGTTTCCCTGCGACTAGTCCCTCCCACCAGGGAAGCATGGAGAGACGCAAGGCAACCATGAGAAGCAGGGGCCGTTTCTCAATCTCGAGGAAACTGGCTTCCAAGCCAATATTTCAAGGATGCTACGTCATCGAGTGCCGCCGAAGGACTGTTCCAATCTCCAGCATACTTGGAATTCCACCGAGGCCGCGTCCTTGGTTTGGGGGTAATTTCGAGGCTGCACATGGGTAGACTTCGCGTCCTTAAAATCCCCACAATGCTTTGCGCACGGACCAATTTCCCGAAATCTGTGGCAGAAAATGTAAGGCGGGGCCTCTCATATGACGCAGACCTGCACACTTGCTAGCCTGTTCCACTCTTCGTTTTCCGAATGCCAGGAAGGATTCTTGCCTAGCTTCTGAAGCAAGTGACTCAGAAGACATGTGCTACCAAGCAAGCATCCTCGCGATTGAGAAACGGCCAGGGAAATGAGTTTTAAGAGCAATGGGACATCCTTTCCTCCGGAGCGTCACGTGAAGCGACGTCCGTTTGTGATGACGCCGCACAGCTGATCGTCTGACATCAGCTCTGTCCCTGTTATTTTCACAAACACCCCCGCCTACACATTTACTGACACTAACATTTGTATCATCTGTTGTAGACCCAAATAAATCAAATCAAATAAGAACTCATTCTCAAAAAAGATAAACGCCATTCTTAAAATGTATAAACGAACATTAGTTGGAATAATATTGATTAGAGTGCACAATAGAAATAAAATAATTGAGAGAAGAAAAAGAGATATGTTATCTATCAAAACCCAGTTAGATTAACATTCATTGGATTGCACACTTTGTTTGTTTGTGTGGATATGTAGCACATTAACATTTTAATAGCACTTAAAGGTGGGGTAGGTAAGTTTCAGAAACCGGCTCGAGATACACTTTTTGTTATATTCCATGGAATGCTCTTAACATCCTGATAGCAATGAATATCTTAAGTGCTTTGACAAAAAATCCATAAAAAAATGTCATCTGTGGAAGCCGTAATACTGTAAAAGGTACAACCAATCCGTTTAGCCGGGCCGGCTAAACGGATTGGATTGCCGCCCTGTCTGTCAGCCTTCCATCTTGTGCACGCACAAATGTATCTCGTGCCCTCATTGGGCGTGCCGTCATTGGGCGTGCATTGCAGCAGTACTTCAATGACTCGCCAGCAACAGGCGGCCACTTTCACCAGTCTGCTGACGTCATGTGCGCGTTCATGTGTGTTGGAGGAGGTGCTCTGTAAGGAAGTCTGAAGGAAGGGGCGGATTCTTTTCGGCTGTGTACTTTCAAATTTTAGTGCACTCGAGCCGGTTTCTGAAACTTACCTACCCCACCTTTAATGACTGACTGAATGGAAATGACAAAAAATGAAAATGTAAAACGAAAAAAGTGATCATGAAAATGTTTCCAACAAATGAATAAAATGATTTTTGACCACTTTGTTGTTCAGATATATCACATATGTGTAACTAAATGAAACAGGAATTGAATCAAAACACGGTATAAACTGAGGAGTGACTCCCGTGAGGTTCATGTGTTTTCTTCACTCCGCTGGGAAACTGCTCTCATGTCAAGAAGCATGAGATCAGTGCATGCACTGCATCGTCCAATCAGTGAGCGATACACAGTAAGGGGGCGGGGCGAGTGTCTGATGATTTCATCGAAGGATGGTCTGGTGGTTCCTCGGTTATAGATCCTCCATTATCGCTCCTCGCTCCTCCGGCAAAAATAAGGCCATTGGGACGCTACTCAAGATGGCGCAGACAAATCAACTTCCGGTGAGACCGAGGAGCGAGGAAATTAAAAATAAGAGAAGTGAGAAAGGGCCTTAGTGTCCACCACAGTGGCCGTGGGTAACGTAATGTCCCCATGATTTGAACTGTTATTACCTGCAGTAGATGCAGTGTTACTGCTGGCGATAAGGGCTGGTTGTTTTAACCATTTTCTGATGTCCATCATTGACTGCTGTGTAAGCACCGTGCACCTGACATAATAACGTTACTTACCGTTTAAATTGACCAAATAAATGCAGTAGACAATGTTATTTAACCACAATTACAATTTATTTTATTTCAACTATATTCTTCTTATTATTATTATTATTACTACTACTATTATTATATATGTAATATTTTTCACTTTTTATTGTTTTCACTTTTAATTTTTCAAATGAGGGTGCATAACGAACGACTCAACTCACCCTTATGCACCCCCGTAGAACCGGTCCTGGATCGCTCCTTTGTGCCACGCCGATCATCGTGTTTTTCTTTTTGTGGATTATAGCCTAAATAGACCTATAAACATTTCCGTTTTTTTGCTGCCGACGGGCGCAGGAGCAACAGTTTTTTTTGTCAATTAACTATAGTGGCTTGGATTAGGCAGTAAAGACAATTTCGGTTTATCGCCGAGCGGACTTTTTGTTGAGTTTTGTTTGTGTTTTGTTTGGCTGGAAAACTGTGAATATAATTGAATAACGTATAAAACCTGTCTTTGTTTATTTTGTGAATGTGTGGATATAGACTGTAGTAAATACACTTCCATGCGGACTATTTGGTAGAAAGAGTAGATTGTCCGTTTATCAGTTCTGTTTGCCTTTAATATATTATTTATTTCATATCAAGAACCCCTTGTGTGTTTATTTAACACAGCTATTTGTGATAGTTGATCGTTACACACGTGACAGGTGTGGTTTATCAAGATGCTGATTAAACATGATTATCACACAGGTACACTTTGTGCTGGTCACATTAAAAAGCTATTATTATTTGTTTTTGTCTTGAAATTATTTTTTTTAAATTAGAACTTCACCTTAGGGTTACAGAAATGCATTTCTTATTCACAGATACCTTACAGAATCAGTTTGACCACCATGTGCCTCGTACAGTTTGTAACACACAATTGGTGCACTCCTCTTTAATGGCTGTGTAGGCTACATGTAGTTTACCCACTGACCCAAACATGCTAAATAGTTGACATAAAATGCAATGCAAGATCTCGGATGTTTATAGTTTCCAGAAGTTTCCTCTCAAACTGTTTTTTTGAATATGACAATGAGTTCATATACTCAATGGCCTCCAAAGTAAAAATATTGAATTAACAAGTTTCATTCAGCGTTGCGCACTTGATCTTATCTCATCATTTTTCTGTCCTCAGGTACATTTGCAATACTGATGGCGGGCGGCGTGGCGGGCGTGGTGACCTGGGCCTTCGCCACGCCCATGGACGTGGTCAAAGCCCGGCTCCAGATGTCGGGGGCCGGCGGGCGGGAGTACAGCGGGGTCCTCCACTGCATGAGAGTGAGCTTCAGAGAGGAGGGAGTGAGGGTCTTCTTCAAAGGCCTTACCCTGAACAGCCTGAGGGCCTTCCCCGTCAACGCTGTCACCTTCCTCACCTACGAGAGTCTCATGAAACTTTTCTATCCCCCGAAAAGATGACATATTTAGACTCTCTAAAAGCCTGAAAACACTCCACCTGAACAAAAAGTGATGAAGATGTTCAGATTGAGCACCCTGTGAATTGAACTGCCTTAAACAAGGATATCAGATTAAGCTGCACATTGTGGACATCAAATCTATCATAGGCTACTTGACAAAATATGAATGTAAACAATGCTGCGGACCGACAAGTGTTTATTTCCAAGCATTTTATTCTTCCGAACTGGACACAAACAGTGAATGATTTCCTAATAAAAACAATACAAAGAATGTAGAGGATTTCTGGTGCCTGGTCCATGGAGTTTTTCCTAAAAACCCCACCAAGAAACAACTAGTGGATATGAACAGGAGTCTCCTTTGGCAGTCTCAACTAATTGTTAATCAACAGTCTCAGTGTCATTTTTGATGTGCTGCTTCCTTTGTCAGCTCTATACACATTACACCTTTTGCACGGTGGAAATAAGACCACTGAGGTGGGGGTTTTATCATCTTTTATTTTTTAAAGAGACTCTTGGTCCATTATTACAAAAACATACAAAACTCAAATATAAATTAAAAAAGGCATTTATACCAATGTTTCCACAGAGGTGACTGGTATCGTACAGCACTGAAACACGGATTTGACAGCAGCATAATGACAGAGTTATGAGAAACATTCAATCGACAGATGAATTTGTACATTTGATTTCTCAAAAGAGCATGGAACGTGTTGACTCGTGCGTTACAGAACATTTCACTTGCACTGCACCACCTTGGTTTTCTAAGCAGTATACGCAAACAGTCATTATATGCAACCTGGAGATTCTTGAGGCTCGCCTTCTTATACTTGACCCACAAGGGGGCAGTATAGAGAGGAGTGCAATAAGCTCTAAAGAGGTTCACCTTAACCTTATCTGAACACCAAGAGAATTTTCTAGCCAACATGTTGGCTTGCATATATAAGACATGCCGCTGTCTATACATGTCATCATCATCAGCCATTTCATCTGTGATGATGTGTCCCAGATACTTAGTGTTACAGCAAACAGACAGCACCTGTCCTGACAGATAGCATGTTGGAAAACAAAGGTTCTTATCCCCTTTTGCTCTGCAGATCATTACAGCGCTCTTCTTAGCATTGTATTTAACGTCAAATTTGACTCCTTAATCAGAACAAACATTTAGCAACTGTTGAAAACCAGCACTTCTAGGAGAAACAATAGCCAGATCATCGGCATACATAAGATGGTTTACAATCACATTACCAATCACACACCCTGTTTTACAGACAATCATCTGATAGATCATTCATATAGATATTAAAAATCCATGGTGAGAGGAGCCCCCCCTGGCGGACTCCATTACCAACACCAAATGGCGCAGAGACTGCATTCCCCCATTTGATCCGCATGCTCTGGTTGGCATACCAATAAGCCAGGATCCTAATTATACTGTTAGGCACACCCCTTTGTCTCAATTTTAAAAACAGTTTATGGTGGTTAACTCGGTCAAAAGCCTTAGAGGCATCAATGAAACCAATCAGAACAGTGGAATTCTGTCTTCTATATGTTTCTACCATTTCCTTCAAAGCATAGATGCATAGCTCAGTACCATGCTTAGCCTTGAAGCCAAACTGGTTATCTGAGGTACATAAATAGGAACATAGTCTATCTAACAAAATTCTTTCCAGGACTTTGGATAACACACTGGCTAGAGCAATTGGTCTATAGTTATCCAAGCTCCCTACCTTGCCCACTTTGTCCTTAATGACAGGGACCAAAGTAACAGTCAACATGGAGTCTGGCAACATATCATGAGTCATGAGGCCGGTAAAACAAATGGCAAGAACAACTGCAACCTTCGGGCTTGCCAGTTTAAGGTGCTCTTATTATTTATGTTGCAAACGGTAGATGTTTTTGACAGCCAAGCTAAGTAAGGTCCCTGGTCTTAAAACCATTACCTATACCAGGGGTGCCCAACCAGTCGATCGCGATCGACCGGTCGATCGCGGGGAGATTCCCAGTCGATCGCGAGATGTGTCTAAAAATAGAACAACAATATTCTGTTTTATCGTTAATGTCCTGTAACATAATCTTCCTGTGGCAGAATAATGCACTTGAACGCATCAAAGCTTTGTGATTGGCCGGCGTGACCCCATGTGTCGGGGCGTGGCTGGTGGGGGCAGTGCACTAGTTCGCTAACGTTGTCCGTATAGGCCATAAGGTGAACCCTGTTATCGTTTCATCCCGCTCCACAGAAGTGGAACTACACAATCTTTAGTTCATAAAAAAGAACGAGTCATGCTTATCCACCAAAAAAAAGTTCGTCGCTAAAATTCCTGTCAATTCTTCTAGGCACGTAATTATTGGCTGAACTAGTCCCTTCAAAGCGTAATAATATCTTGGTCAAAAGTAGTGCCACGGTCCGTCACGTGATCGTGCTACACCAATTGGGTAGCTGCATATACCGGTATCAACAAACTAGGGGTGGGCGATACCACAAAATCTGGATTCGTTCCGATACCAAGTATTTCAGGGCCAGTATCGCCGATACCGATATCGATACCGATACTTTTTTTAATGAAAAGCGTCTTATGTACTTTCATATAGGGGAGAGCTGCATGACATGATTTTTGAGCTGAAATCATCATAAATAGACACAATCTGAATTCATTTTCATGAATAAAGACAGGACAGTTTTTATAGACAAATACACGTTTTACTTTTGCAAATTTAAAGTGCAAACATGAAAAATAACATTACAAAGTGGCCAAAGTAGCGAACTGTCTTCTTGCACACATCACAGTTCGCTAAGTTTTAATGGCCAGTTGTGAAATTGCTCCACACAACGCTGCTCTTTCTCTCAGCCATCATGCGCGTGTGTGTGTTGCACTCGCGAGTCGCTGGCTGCTGCTGTCCTGCCCTGCTGGCTGCTGTCAGTCAGCTTGATAATCGGCGTTCAGGCAGGGAGCCTCGAGGAGAAGAGGACAGCAGTGGAGAGAGAAGAAAAGAGCATATACTTGTGTTCGTCTGCACATAGTTTTTTGAAGAAATTGACGAGTAGAGGAGACGAGAAAAAAAGTATAACAGTATCGATCCTATTGGCTCTAGTATCGATATTTTGAAACGTAACGTAATATCGGAGGTATCGATATTTTGGGATGGATCCGCCCACCCCTACAACAAACAGATTTGGAAAAAATGGCGACCGCCATGGTTTCATCGAGTAGCGGGGACGAGGAAAACGCACCAGAAAGTCTCAAAAAGTCAAAATGATCAACACACAAACATTGTTACATGCATATTACGTCTGTGAACGACAAGGTTGATTATTTTACCAATACAAGATGGAATACGTACAGGACAAGCTTACAACGGTGGCATTGATTTTGAAGTTACAAATACAATATTATCATATTACAATAATTATAATTATAATAATAATATAATATATATATTATATATATCTATAATAATAATAATATATATATATCTATAATAATAATAATCTATATATATATAATAATAATCTATAATAATAATAATGCAATTCATCAAATTATTATATGATGAATGAGTAAATAAATGAATCAATGCTCATTGGTATAAGTACTGCATTTTATTGATCTAAATTACTTAACGTAACAAGTTAACCTTCTTCTTGGACGCAGCTATGTATGAAATCAAATCATGTTTATTGTAAGAGTGCATTTAACGTGTACAGGGTAACAATAACAACAGACAGACAGACAAAAAGTCCTCAGTCTAATGGAATAATCCACGAGCTCAGCCAATGAACCTAGCGATGCGAACACGGTAGTCCAGGAATGTTGTTGTAGCTGGAGTTGGCTGATAAACGCTGCTAGCCAATGTTGATTCGATGGTCAACTCTGTTCCCAGATAGTAAAACCTCTCACAAATACCGCGTATATAACGCAAATACCTCGGACTTAGTGATGTATTAAGACATATGACAAAACATGACATAAAACAAGCATACAGCACTGTTTAGAATCCATTTGGTCTGGTTTAGCGTAACCATGTGTGCGGCCATCTTTCACTTCTGTTGACAATATGCAGCTACCCAATTGGTGTAGCACGATCACGTGACAAACCGTGGCACTACTTTTGACCAAGATATTATTACGCTTTGAAGGGACTAGTTCAGCCAATAATTACGTGCCTAGAAGAATTGACAGGAATTTTAGCGACGAACTTTTCTTTGGTGGATAAGCATGACTCGTTCTTTTTTATGAACTAAAGATTATGTAGTTCCACTTCTGTGGAGCGGGATTTATTTTCTAAAGGACTTTTCGAGGTTCACCTTGCGGCCTAGTAGGAGTGACAGTCCGCACACACACAAGACCGCAATTATGGCAGAAGCAAAACATATATAATTTTCACTCCGAGTGGGAGGATGATTATTTTTGTATCTATTCCAATTCAAAGTCCATCTGTCTCATCTGCAATGTGAGCGTGGCTTTATCGAAGAAGGGTAATTTAGGAGCGGCATTTCAAAACAGTGCACAAACGCTAAGAGACGGAATTCCCTCCTAATTCTGCCCTACGCTCCAAAAGGGGAGGGGCCTGAAAGGACAGCTACATGCACAGCAGTCCATTTCCACCAGGCCCAACAACAAGAGCAAGGCTGCTACCATAGCATCTTATCGTGTCAGTCACGTTCTTGCGAAACACATGAAGTCTTTCAAAGACGGCGAAGTTGTGAAAGAAGCATTCCTGGAGGCTGCCGATGCGTAATAAAAATAACAGTAGCATTTCAACAGGTTTTTGATATGATAAAAACTCAAGTTAGATACCGTTATTAATCAGCTGTAAGTTTGAGTTTGTTTGAACTTATTAATTATAATTATTGTACAAAATGGTATAATAATGCAAACTTAAATTGATTATAGTCTATTATCAATTCAGGTTAAGAAACTAGTGTTGCTTGCATCCAGGGGCGGATCTACCGGGGTGGCATGGGGTGGCAACTGCCACCCTAAACAATAGCCTTGCTACCCCAGCTGCCACCCCAGTTGGTATCTTTGTTTTGAAAGAAAAGTTGTTGCTCATCGGACATTTATGAGAGAAAGTCTCTAATGTCCGAGTGCAAGTGAATGCAGCACAAGAAGCACGTCATGTAACCCCTCCCCCGGTCCTGGCGCGAGAGTGGAAATATGATTGGTGGCGAATTCATTTGAACGGGACGGCGCAAAACGAGAAGTCTTTCGGACTCAAGTAGACTGAAGGAATGAGGTATTTGCGGTCTACACTGACAGAGAAGAGAATGTCAAGTTTGGCTGCACTCAGCATTGAATCAAAACGCACTAAAGCTGTTGATCTTAATACATTTGTGAGGCGTTTTGCTGAACAAGATAGGAATCGCCGCATTCAGCTGTAATAGACATGCCAACTTGATGCTCTGCTCACGGATGACTCGATGAGAATAACAAACTGTTAAGATGATGACCTTGTATGCGTGTATATATTTTTTTCTTTGAGGGGGTCTGCCCCCAAAAAACAATTTTAAGTCCTGAAAAAGTAAAATAAGACGGTGTGTAAAACTACACTGCCCAGCCAACAGAAAGTAACCACTTTGATTTAACTAGGCCAGTAGGTAAGGACCTTCCACTGGATAATAACTGCAGCGATGTTTTAGCTGAATACACGTTTTTTAACCCTAACTGATGCAGTTAGTCACTTCTTTAATGTTTGTTCTTTCTGATGTAAAGTCAAGGTTGTAACTGTATATCAATAATGATATAATTACTTGTTTTTCAAATTTGAAGGAGGGTGAGCAAGCATCTTGATGAACATTCATCATTAACTCCTCCAAAAAATAAATATAGTTTATTCAATAATAAATGAATATGTGAATCATAACAGTTCTTCACTATATCTGTAAAGCGTCTTTGAGCACCTGTAAAAACGCTAACAAATTAAATCTATTATTATTATTATTTATTATTTATTTATACAGCTGATAGGAATAATATGATTGTTAATAGTATCATATTCATTCAGACAAACATCGATGAGACAGTTAATTAATGTACTTATTGCAGCAGTCTGCATATATTTGGTACTCCTGCTGGTCTAAGAGTGAGACAAACTCATTCAGTTATTGTTCAGTTAAAATTCATTAAATTACGTCTGCCACCTTATATGTAAGGCTTTACTGATGTGCCACAATAATATCACCTATGTGATTGAGTTAAAATATTAATATTGTGGCTTTCCAAGTTAACATTGATTGTAGGGGTGTAACGGTTCACAAGCATTTCGGTTCGGTACGTACCTCGTTTTTAGGTCACGGTTCGGTTCGGTACGTTTTCGGTACAGCAGAAAAAATGATCACAAAACATTAAAAACATTGTTTTTATTATTATTAAACTGTGACTAATGTATTCAAATAAATACAAAATATAGTAAAATAAACATTAAGGTGCAGCATTTCGATGAACTGAAATAATCTGTATTTGAACTGTACTAGTACCTAAGCAGCCAGCTTGACATTAGGACTTGCTTGTCATTGTATTTTCATGTTGTTTAAAGAAAGATTAACTTGTCCACATTGCTTGCTGAAATGGCAGATCTGCTGGCACTAACAATGTCTCCTGCTGTGGAGAACACCCTCTCTAGGGACAGAGGTAGCACAGCCAGGTAGCGCTTTGCTAGCATGGCAACATAAGGATATTTGGCGTTTGTAATAGCTTTGGCTCGGTCTGAACTCTTTGCGAGTGGTGGAGGCTTACATGCTAGTGGGAGTTGGGTTTGCACTTCAGTCTTTTTTCTTTTGGTACCGGTGATATTCACATTCGGGTGATGCCTTTTCAAATTAGTGTGATGTATTGCCAGCCGTGTAACCAATGTTAGTTGAACAATACCGACAAACAGCTTTGGTTCGGTCCACCTGTCTTTGTCCGTCATCCTTGTACGTAACTGCGAAACCAAAATGTTCCCAAACCGGAGACTTCAATGATGCTGCAGGATTTTCAGCTCAACTTTATCTGCGTTCGCCATTTCGACAGTTCCTCAAATTACTGACTACATTTGAACGCATCCCTGTGACCAGCTCTCATAGTATGCCTCTCGTCTAATGAAATGACTTGGTCGCTCTATGATATATACCTGAGATTACTTCCAGAAAGTTGTTCATGTTCTCAATTTTTTTACGTTTAACGCTATATTCGTTCGGTACACACGTGTACCGAACCGAAGGGCCCGTACCGAATAATTTCAGTACGGGTACCGTTACACCCCTAATTGATTGATATGATTGCGATTTAAATCAGCATATACTTCTGTCAGGGGATGCCACCCCTCAAAATCTCCTGCCACCCTCTTGCCACCCCATGAATATTTGTCTAGATCCGCCCCTGCTTGCATCCTATTTTAAAAAGGCATTTCTTTTTATAATGTACTAAAATGCAACAAAAAAAGGGTTTGATTCTATTAATTTTGTCTTTTTTATTGCACTGTTGCAGCAGATTACTGTGTAGCTTCAGATCTGAGTTGTCTTATTAGTAAGCCTAATTTATACTTTTGTAGCAACACTATTTTTTATATAATGGCAAAGAAAGGGTTCAGAGTCTTTTCTTCTTTTCCTGTGTCATATGTGGCAGCACTGTTCAATGTTTCTTGAAAACATTACCCACTGTAGTATGTGACGCGTGAATAAACTCCAACTCTGTATCAACAACACTGTTGTGTAACTTCAGTTAAATACTTGTATGTGTGTAGATTAGAAAGAGGTAAGATAAAGGATCTGCAGTATTTTATGAAGTGTTAATCGTACAAAGGTCAGTTTTATACAAGTAGAAGTGTGTATTTACCTGGTAGTAGGCTGTCAGTAATGGCTACGCCCGTCTATTTGGACTGGTAGATCTCGGCAGACTGGCAACTTTAAAAGTAGCTCTCGGTTAAAAAAAGGTTGGGCACCCCTGACCTATACCATAACCATTTTTGACATCAACAATAGATCAACCACCTGTGTGCTATGTGCAAAGGGTCACTTGTTACAAATTCAGAGAAAATCTACCAACTCCGAGGTTAATTATTTTGGTTTTCTGACCCACAACCTTCACGGTTTAGGTTCACTCTCACCGCTCTCATCAGCATTGATTTCAGCAGGCAGAGTTTTCTTTTAGCAAGAAATCACAACAGTAGTCAAAGTATCAACGAGCTGATGAGCGTACTGGAGCTTTCAGCTGCACAAAAGTCAAATATTTCATTAAGATAGAGCTAGAAGGAAACATAAGCCCACTTAAATCTGTCAACATATTCGGCCAATAAACTTTTTAGGTTATAAAATATGTTTTGCGATAAGAGCTTGTTGTCTCTGGCCAGGACTCTAAAAAGATCATTTTAATCTCATGAGACCTATCCTGTTTAAATAAAGGTTAAATAAAGTGGTTATTGTAATTGTTGGTCAAAATGTTATCTCATAGTTGACACATGAACAAAAAGTGTTATCACGTGCAAACGAAAAAGGAAATATGGTAAAAGATAATATTGTGATATATATATATATATATATATATTGTGCATATTTTCCAAAACGAGTTTTAACCATGATACTCCCATGCTTGTAAGTCAAGTATAACAGTTTATAACTGCTCTCTTCTACCTCAACACTTCCACTTCTGAAGCTTTAATGATACAATACTCAAAAACATTTAATCAATATCAAATATTTTCTTACACCTGGATTTTAAAGGCACCAAGAAACAAATGGTCAACATTAGAAAGGAAAAAATACATGAAATGAATGAAAATGTGTTCAAGTCAGATAACCTTTATAGTAAAAATTAAGAACGGATGCCTTAGCACAACACATCAGAAAAAGAAAAAAAAGACAGTTTCTTGAGGCACAAAAGTAGAGCATAATGAAAATGCTCAAACCGTGTAACTGCCAGACTGACAGTCATATCAGGAAACCTTATGATCTCATATAGGGATTTGTCTTACCAAAACACAGACGAGAAGCCAGAACCCAACACCACTTGGTAGGGGACAAAAAGTTGGGTTTGATTTTTGTTCAGGCCATATCTTGTGCTATTTGTAATAACGACATAGTTAACTGACATCTGGGAACACAGTGATATGGCTTTTAATAGATCCAATGAGGACAGAAAAGCAAACCGTGACTGTGTTATCGCTAATAATAATCCTTCATTGCACAACAGGGCAAACAACTACAGTGGGTCATGGTTGAATCAGGGAGTTGGTCTGTTAACTTCGATGGATAGTTAACAGACGGATTGCGTAATAGCTTTACAGTGTCCCTTCTAATCCCAACAATTCTAGACATTATCTGATAGGCAGGACAACAAAAATAAAACCCAAGTTGTTTCATGGAGATTATGAATGCGACATTTACAACAGCTCATCAATCCATTATGTCAAAGGCTCTTTTTTTCCTAAGGTTGTCAAGGTTGCTATCCCAGAAAGCATTGGGGGAAAGTCAGTTTACAAAGAAAAAGAAAAGTACACAAACTTCTACATACACCATCAATGTACATGATGCAGGAAGAATGCAGTATGTGGCTTTAAAATATTTCACACATTGTTAAATAAAAAGTGTGTCATAAGGCAAGACTGACCTCGTATCAGGCAACCTTATGATCTCATATTCAGATTGTTCACACAGGTATGATACAGTGTCGCTTACACCACCACAGAATTATATTCTTACAGCTTCAATGCTTTACAGATATTCACAACAGCATACATTCAGCAGCAGCTGCTGTACCACAGATAGAGAGAAACACTCAGGAATGCAGATGTAAGACAGAGATCTTACAGAAGTCACTTCCTTCATTCAGCTGAAGGACACCCTGAGCTTCCCCTTTAACTGACCCATATAAGACAAAGCCAAGGATGTGTAAGTGTAAGCACATCATCTAGCTAGGGATAAAGAAATACTGTCTATACGGTTGCACAGGAAAAGGGAAGGATTTGTCAAACAAACACCGACCTGTTTCTCTCGTATGCCTCCATGGTGAATGGAAAAAACTAAAAACTGGTTCTTGATGAATGGAAGGAGAGGAGGGCCGCGTTAAGGCAAAACTATATCCAAACAACTTTTCATGACATTTAAAACAGCATTTGCAAGAATTTGAGTTTCATTTCTCCAGTCGTATGCCAACATTTTCCTGAACACTCACATTTTTCATAAAACGTTACTATGTAAGCACTTTGGCCTGTGAAAGTGTGATGTTTATAGGCAAGTGTTTTAAAAGTAAGATTTTAGCTTAAATGCATGTTCTTGTAAAGAACTGAGCATTTGATCAGATAAACAAAAACTGTATTATACTGCATGAGATGGTTGGAAGTTTGTAAACAAATGTGATATCATGTTGCTGTCGTTAAACGCGGCCGCCATTTAATTCAATTCATCACAGATGTTGCCTGTTTTTTCATTCTTGGTTCACCGTGGAGGCGTGCAAGAATACATTCATTTTCTTCAAGAATTCAAGTTAAAACGGGAATAGTCATTCATATACAAATTCAGATTTTAGGGGTAAGACATTTAAAACGGATCATAAGTAGTCCTCTTTATGTGGAATATGTGCACGCACAATGAAGAAATATCCCATACACCCGTCTGGTCAGCCACAAACAGAATCTTTGTTTAAATACCTTGATCCAATGTTCAGGCAGCATTTTCAGTCTTTAGTGCTGAGTCGTCAGTGTGACTGAGGGGAGGGGGAGATCTGTTCCTGCAGAAGAGTTTTTTGGTTCTGCTCGGCAGCCAGGGCCCGTAAGGTGGTCCTCTGGATCTGCCTGGTCTTGTTGTACAAGAAGACCCCCAGGAACACCAGGCCGGTGCCGGCGGCGCTGAGGATGGTGATGTGGTTGCTGAACACGATGATGCTCAGCCACACCGACAGGGCGTGTTTCACACTACTGGCAACACTGAGGAAGACAGGAAGGTTCAACTGTCAAAATAATCCAACTCATGTCATATGAGAGCATTTTTAAAGATGCTCCATCCTGTTTTATTATGCCAAAAACATGACTCGTTTACTGGAAATAGGACAGATTGCTTTAAGCAGTGTTCTACATCTGCATGTACAGCAGCAGAAGACCATACCAGGTACCAACTAAAAAAAGATTAAGGGTACCAAACCTGGACAAGGCCTCATATTGTTGCTTTTAGCTGCATACTAAGGGTGCCCATCCGTAATGGAGCACTCGGGTTTTACAAACCTAACTGAGCCTCATTTATATTACACATTTATAAGCACTGTTGTTGATCATCTACCTCTTTAATGGCCACAAGCTCTGCTTTCTTTCAGCAGGTCAATGTTTCAAGTCATAACGTACTTATCATTTCAAGATTGGGACAGATTTAAAATTGATTAGATGTCCTGAACATTTTCTTGGTATCAATCCATCAGAGCGCCATTAAAGGAGAAGCGCACCAATTCACATCTCACTCTTTAACTCGGTCAGAATCAAACTAAAATGATAAATAAAGAACTTGAGTTATAAGTCTACTTAACAGTGCAAACTAATGTCAAGTGGCAGAACCTGGCACCAACATTACCCACAATGCAACTTGCCCGCAGACAGTTTGGTAGGATATAAGTTGTGCTATGCTTGATGAGTAAGTTAGCCTCAAGCAGAGTTGAGAAGAGGGCTGCGGCCCCCTGATTTATTTATTTCCAGTTTTTTCCTGAACTATTTTATTACATATGAGGAATTAACCCCTATTACCAGTCAGCAGTCATTCTGTAAAAAGTTGAGTTCCCCTTTAAGATAAATGCATGACTACATATGTTGGTATCTATTAAGCAAGGTCCATTTCAGCATGTTTATTAACCTAACAAAGTATTGCAATAAAAGTGATCGTATTCAGACAAGTGTACACAGTACTGTGTCAAACAGTGCACGTGTAGAATCAGGCTTCAGGAGGATGACATAAATTAGTTTTTCTTTTGTGCCTGTCACCTGATATTCTGTACAAACTGTGAAGTCCACTGAGACAAATGTAATATTTGTGATATTGGGCTATATAAATAAACATTGATTGATTCATTGATTGATTGATTGACCTACCTGAAGGTAACAGGGGAAATCCGTCCCATGAGCGCGTAGGCGGTGACACTCTGCAGGTGGAACAGGGCGCCGTCAAAAAGCAGCAACAGGACAACGTCCTGAGTGATGACTAAGCTTCGGCCACTCTTCCCGATCACTGGGATGTCCTGAAAACATGGAGACAGAGCACGACACGCATTAACATCATAACTGGTGCCTCAACCTTGCCCTCAACTATCAGAACATGTACTCTAAATACACATTGCTGTATTTTGTGCCTGTGACATGCCTCCATGCTTTAATGTTCAAAAAGCTCTTTATTTTACTCATACTGCCTGTGCTGCAGCACCTCTTTTCACCCTCTGTCTGGAACCAGAGCCCAGTCTGCTCTGATTGGTTAAATGCCCGGCTCTGTTGTGAGTGCTTGCCAATAGAAGTGAGAGTGTTCCGTAGTGATGTTACTATGTTGCGGTAGAACTTCAAAAAATGACATTTGGGATTTTAGCCTTTGCAGACCATTTACATGCACCCAAACCTATATAACACACTACAGGAAATTGCAAAAGTCAATGCCAAAAATAGCTTCAGACTTTAGGTATAAATATAACCCACTATAAATACACTTGCAATAATTCAGTTAAGCAATAATTGTAGTGTGTGTGTGTGTGTTGACCTACCAAGACAAAAAGCCAGGCAGGTATAAGCATGATGACTGCTGCGGCACTGGTATAAAACTGCAGCTCCGGAGGGCTGAAATAAGTCCGAATTTATATTATAAATGTGTTTCCATTTTGTTTATTTCACTGCTGGAAATAGGAGGGTTCACATATTTTTACCTGAACTTGTATCCGTCTCCACTTAGCAGCTTTTTGGAGAATACGTTCTGCAAACTGAAATTGGAGAAACATGGTTAAATAAGGCATATAAAGCATCACACTGCTGTGGGATGGTTCTGTTGAGTGCTGCAGTACCAGTCCATGATGTTGGTGGAGAGCGCAGCGGAGAAGCCAATCATGTTGAAACTCATCTCCGTGGCTGTGCAGAGAGCCAGGCCCGCCATGATGGGGAACAGGGACAGGTTCACCCACAGCCCTAAGGAACAGAGGCGTTGGACACAATGAAACGAGTCAACAGCTTCTCCAAAGACATAAACCATTCAGCTGCAGTCTAACTGAAAGAACCAGATTTAATGCTGTGTTGCCAACACAAATGTTGATGAAAGTAATTGATGGAAGTGATGTAATAAAGGTGTTTTACTCCACTCTGTGAACAATGTCGTTTTACTGAATTACATCAAGTCTCAGTCCAACAAGAATGAGAGATTGTATATATAATTTAAACCTAGTGAAATCTTTAATTTTGAATAAAAGTTGTAACTCCTTATCTCATGCCTCTCCTAGAAGCTGTCATACATTGTATCCAGTTTTAAGCCAAGGTTGTATTTAACTGTGTATCTTGAACACACAAAGTGTTTTTAATCAAACATCATGATCTTAAGTTATAAGAGGATAACAGGTAAGCAAACATTAGCAGTAAATCCGTAGATCCTTCATCCTTTATCCCCTGAAAACCATTGTAGAAACACTGATTATTCATTTGACACTCCTTTACTCAGTGTAACTCCCAGTTATATTCATGGGGTCAGTTTGTTTGGGAGAGAAAGAGACTCCTGCATATAATTCAAAACCTTCTGAACACTGAAATAATCCTAACCGGGAGAAATGTCCGGGACTGACGAAATGCAATGATCCAATGCTACTTTACGCCTCAACCAAATGATCGCTTTTGTTTTGATTAGGAGAACCCTAGTGGCAAATAAGTTATATATGCTGCGTTTAACTCAAGAAAACTCAAACAAAAGTAGGTTTGGAGTTGTATATGTCCCCAAAACATCACTGCATTGATGCTCCAACAAAAAGCGTTAGAGGACCCTGCACAAAGAGTGGTGGCCATTGATTTGACCAGTTTGGAAGGCAACAGTCATTTCTTTGCATCAACTAAACAACTGACAATACTTCCAGTGCATCTTGGTCTACTACATGTTACTGGTACAAGTAACTAGAAAAATCCTGAGGAAAGACCAGGACCAGTTTGACTCTCTGAAGTGAAAGACATTCAGTGTCCCCTAAAGCCCTGCTCTCCTGACATCAGTGTGTCCTCTACCTGTGTACTCCCCGAGGATCAGCCTGGACATGATCACAGTGAAGATGGGAGCCGAGCTCTTCACGGTCTCTGCAAAAGACACCGCCACATTCTTCAGGCTCACCAAGCCCAGAACCACAGTGGTGAACCTGAGGAAAGAAGACAAAGATGATGCCAAGATATGACTTGAGATTGCATCAGCATTTGTTAATCTAGCACAGGGGTGCCCAACCTTTTTTGAACCGAGAGCTACTTTAAAGTTGCCAGTCTACCGAGATCTACCAGTCCAAATAGAGAGGCGTAGCCATTACTGACAGCCTACTACCAGGTAAATACACACTTCTACTTGTATAAAACTGACCTTCGTACGATTAATACTCCATAAAATACTGCAGATCCTTTATCTTACCTCTTTCTAATCTACACACACACAAGTATTTAACTGAAGTTACACAACAGTGTTGTTGATACAGAGTTGGTGTTTATTCACACGTCACATACTACAGTGGGTAATGTTTTCAAGAAACATTGAACAGTGCTGCCACATATGACACAGGAAAAAAAGAAAAGACTCTGAACCCTTTCTTTGCCATTATATAAAAATAGTGTTGCTACAAAAGTATAAATTAGGCTTACTAATAAGACAACTCAGATCTGAAGCTACACAGGAATCTGCTGCCAAAGTGCAATAAAAAAGACAAAATTAATAAAATCAAACAATTTTTTTGTTGCATTTTAGTAGAGTATAAAAAGAAATGCCTTTAATAGGATGCAAGCAACACTAGTTTCTTAACCTGAATTAATAATAGACTATAATCAATTTAAGTTTGCATTCTTATACCATTTTGTACAATAATTATAATGAATAAGTTCAAACAAACTAAAACGTACAGCTGATTAATAACGGTATCTAACTTGAGTTTTTATCAAAAACCTGTTGAAATGCTACTGTTTTTTACTGTCCCCCAAAAGCGCATCGGCAGCCTCCAGGAATGCTTCTTTCACAACTTCGCCGTCTTTGAAAGACTTCATGTGTTACGCAAGAACGTGACTGACACGATAAGATGCTCTGGTAGCAGCCTTGCTCTTGTTGTTGGGCCTGGTGAAAATGGACTGCTGTGCATTTAGCTGTCCTTTCAGGCCCCTCCCCTTTTGGGAGCGTAGGGCAGAATTAGGAGGGAATTCCGTCTCGTAGCGTTTGTGCACTGTTTTGAAATGCCGCTCCTAAATTACCCTTCTTCGATAAAGCCACGCTCGCATTGCAGATGAGACAGATGGACTTTGAATTGGAATAAATACAAAAATAATCATCCTCCCACTCGGAGTGACAATTATATATGTTTTGCTTCTGCCATAATTGCGGTCTTGTTTGTGTGCGGACTGTCACTCCTGTTTACACGGACAACGTTAGCGAATTAGTGCACTGCCCACTAGCCACGCCCCGACACATGGGGTCACGCCGGCCAATCACAAAGCTTTGATGCGTTCATGTACATTATTCTGGCACAGGAAGATTATGTTATAGGACATTAACGATAAAACTGAATATTGTTGTTCTATTTTTAGACACATCTCGCGATCGACTGGGAATCTCGTCGATCGCGATCGACTGGTTGGGCACCCCTGATCTAGCACAAAATCTGTTCTACTTTCTTAGAAGCTACTAGTTAGTCTCTAACTTTATTCAATGACTAAGAAAACAAAAGGGGACCCACCTCATGAGTCCAACAAACAACATGATCATGATGAAGTTGGAGGGGTACTCTGTTCTGGACTTGTGCTGGTAAAGGCAACAGGGTACAAACATCTTTAGGAAGCCTATGATGGTGGTGGAGAGCATCTGAACAGCACCTGGGAGCACATGGAAGCAAAAAATCCCTGAGGCATGATGTCGGATGACCTTTAACTCCTAGAACTGCAATTCAGTAATATTTACCATTGTCTTGTTGGACAAATAAAGGTGGAAGCAGAACATGAACAGCAGCACCCTACCTGCTTGTTTAGGACACAGATGTGTTTCCATTCATTTCAGGGAACAACGAAAAACTACTTGCAGGGAGCAAAACATGCATGAATTAGGAAATCCACCATAGTGTGCATTTGTATTTAAATACTTATTGTTTTTGTCAAAGTAACATTATCATCACGTGTGTTAGCACATCTTAAATATATTAAAACAATCTTAGAGAACTAATTACTGGGTGAAAAAGGTAAAGTCTATACATTATCATTAAAATGGTTGGCATCTGTCAGATTTTAAAGGTCCCTGAATGCACCAGCAGAGTCAAAAAAATGTCTATGGACATCTTTCGTTATTACCTATTTTAAGCAAGCGACATGTTTTTTGGTGCAAGTAGTTTTTCTTGCAGATCAGGCATGCCATCAATCTTAAGAGTCATGGGGTGCTTTACAAAAAGCTGAACAATGATATGGCAAAAAATCTGATGATGCAGAGGGACCTGCACAACCACAAAGGTTGGTTTCACGTTACTTGCAGGCTGATGCAAAATCACCTAAAATAAAATAATTATTAGCATTAATTTGATAGCATCTGTCCAATGTAACTATGACTTGTTCATCTGAGTCATGACCACAGAAGCAAAGCTGTTTTTCTCCTGCTTTGTTCTACACCAAGTGCTTATAAACTTTGTCCGAAAGGTAGGAGTTCTAATTTACAATGCAAAGGAATGGATTAATCATTTAAAAACAGAGCTGGGTGTCCCCTGCAACCATCTCGATAACAATTGAAAACACTTTTTTGTCCGTATATACCTGTAATGACCCTCTCGCCGAAAAGCTCTGTTGAAGTGCCTGTCTCTTTAAGACCCCCTTACGATAAAGCCCAGTCTGCTCTTATTGGCTGGCAATAAAATTAAAATAAAACCTAGTTCTCAAGCTGTTTTTGGAGATACTAATCTTGGGGACAATATCCTAATGAGCCTGAATGTGACATAGGATGTAGAGCCAAATCTCAATGGCTTGTTGAGTCCCAGGTGTTTATATTCAATGTAACCTGCAGAAAGCTGACAAGGTTGTTGTAATTGGTTAGTAGTTACTCCCGTATACCCACATGTGTGTGGATAAGTATATTTATCATGTATTTACCCAGCATGCTTGGCTCCCCATCCAGCAGTGACAGGATGTACTTGTTGAGGAAAAGGGTGCAGAAGCTGAAGAAGTACCAGAGGCCCAGGTAGGTCATGGAGCGCCAGTTCCAGACCCCTGACTCCGTCTCGATCACCGTGGTCTCTGTGATGGTGATCTTCAGCAGCTGCTCCCCCGGCAGGCTGTCGCTGCGGGTCAGCACCATGCGCTCCCGCTGGCTGCGGAACGGAGACAGGAGGTGCCATAGCGGATGCCGCGTGTTTTGCCTACCGCCCAGCATCACACCTGCTGCCTGAGGGCCCGACAGGTGGCTGATAGGAGGGAGGTGAAAGTTTGATGGTTAGTTCATCTTCCGATTGGTCAAGCAATCGATCAGTCTATACTGGGAATGGTTTAAGTCCCGGTGGCCCGTCCTTTCTATAGTCTTCTGTCAGTTGAGATACAAGCTGAACAAAAGAGGGGGGGGGGGATGAGTTCTGTCAAGCTCTGGTCAAAAATACCGGTTCTTGTATTACATTGTGTCACACATATTGAGTGAGTGTCCATCAACTTGTTACATATTTAAAATTGTTACATAAAAGCAGTGTTGGAAGAAGTACTCAGATCCTTCACTTAAGTAAAAGTACAAATACTATGGTCTTAAAATGCTATACTAGAAGTAAAAGTTTTCATTTTGCTCAATGATTATAATAATATAGATTTCAGAAGAATGTATAGGCCTACATAATACCTCAAGTATCAAAAGTAAAAGTATTCCTGCAGAATGGATGTTTTCACAGTATTATATTATTATGATTATTATTTTTATCCTGTTTATAGGGTTAGGTGGTTATGCATTTTAGTATTGCGATTGGCCAATATGGACCAAATTACGAAACTTGAAATACTGTGTAGAAAAGTACAACTGTAATGTATTATACCATATCAGCATATTATGTGTTTCCATTTGTAAGAAAGTAACTTTTAAATAAATGTAGTGGAGTAAAAAGTAAGACATTTGCCTCTGAAATGTAACTGAGTAGAATTATTAAGTAGCATACAATGGAAATACTCAAATGTCAAAAAAGTACAATACTTGAGTAAATGTACTTAGTTACTTTCCACCACTGCATATAGGCGATTTTTACTCCAGTTTACTACTGTGGTCAAGCCAGCATCCGCGTTGTTTTGCGGTGCGCGAATATCCTATGCATTACGGTAGAGGCCTGGAAAAACTGCCTTCAAAATAAAAGTGCTTACTCGGTCAATAACAATTATACCAAACATATTAAAATATGTACTATATAGGCCTAATGTGATCAATAATAATGTAAGACAAACTACGTATAACTACCACATTATAAATGAGTGAATGTAAAACTTAAAGAGTTTCAAAATAAAAGACCTTTGAAGTTTCATATATGAGCCATCATCCAGGGTTTCCCACACAGACTATACTTGGGCGGGCCGCCCAGGTATATTAACGGCCGCCCAAGTATATTTCGCGACCCATTTTTTTTTTTTTATAAGTTTTTTTTTGTATTTTTTTTTTGTATTCGTCCGTGACCACGACGCCATCTGCGATCGATTAACTTGTGGACAATGATCCCTCGCTCCCTTGCTCTGATCTCGCCTCGTTAAGTGGCCTGCCTCACACAGGGTGACTGGCTGTCTACATGATGTGGCCTGCCAACATGGCCACTGTCATAGAGATCATAAATCAAAGCCCTTGATTGGTCTCTGTGTGTCATTCAAGCTCGGGATAATCTCAGCTCAGGTGAGGTAAAGGACTCTGAGTGTTTAGATAGTTAACTTAGTTTAAGTTCTCAGTGGGTCTCAAACAGTGTGGTCACCATTTACAGTATGTAAACACATATTTCCATTTGAGAGGGTAGTGATTGATCTAATGGATAGTGAGGTGGGCTGAAGATCGGAAGGCTGTGAGTTCAAATCCCGCCAGGAACACCACCACTAGTGTGCCCTTGAGTGCCATCTTTACGCAAAATGATTATACAAAATGAAAACTTTTTTTTTTTTTTTGCGCACCCCCCCCCCCGCCCGCTGCCACCACCCGCCCAAGTATATTTCAGATCTGTGGGAAACACTGCATCATCCCTCTGTTTTTAGATAAGAATAAAACAAAAACCCTCCAGTATCAAATACTTATTTCACTTCAGGGTGATAGCAGGACATCCCATCTAGTCACTCAGAGAGAATCAGGACAATCTGATGTAGTTTCAAAATAAAATACCTTTGAAGTCTCATATATTTGAGCTATCATCCCTCTGTTTTTAAATAAGAATAAAACAAAAACTGTCCTGTATCAAATACTAATATCACTTCAGGGTGATAGCAGGATACCCCATCTAGTCACTCAGAGAAAATCAGGACAATCTGATGTACAGTTTCAAAATAAAAGATCTTTGAAGTCTCATGAGGTATCATCCCTGTTTTTAGATGAGAAAATGCTTACCAAAAAAAAATAATATGTTGTCATCTTGTCTGTTTCACCAATTTGTGTGTGTTTGTGTGTATGTATTTGTTCAAGATGATATGATTATTAAAATTCAGAAGTATAGCATGGGCCTTGTGACGGTCCTGTGCCCACTCCAATTTAAAAGCTTTTCTGTATTTCAGAAAAGGAAAAATACAAAAAAACACAAATATAAAAAAATAAAATACAAGACGAATATGCGATCAGTAAAAGACAGAACATGTTTTTCTTGATGTAGAGTATAATAATAATAATATTAACAATAACCTTTATTTGTATAGCACCTTTCATACAGGAGTTGCAGTCCAAAGTGATTCACAGTCTCATAAGATAGAGTTTAAGAAAATGGATGTCAAATAAAATACAGTTAACAAGAACATTGATATCACATATGAAAGGGTTAAAAGACATACAAATATAAATAAAATTAGCACAGAATAGACATTGAGTAAAAAATAGATTCAAAATTCAGGATAATAAAAGAAAACCAAGTAGCTATCTAAAGCTTTAGCTTTTTCTTGAATATTTAGACCGAGCAGGCTTCCCTGATGTCTAACGGTATCGTGTTCCACAGCTTTGGGGCATAATTAATGAAGGCCGCATCACCAATTTTCTTATTTCTGCCTCTGTTTAATTGTTAAATAGGAAACATTTAAACAGCTGACACAACAACTTGCCATGGGCCCAAGGCGGTTGAGGCAAAATAGGCAATGATGAAGGCTTAACAATTAATTTGATGTAGACAGGTTCATATTATTATCAGTGATACTAAAAATATTGTAAATGTTCTTGTACTGTAAGTGTAGTGTATCAAAAACACAAATTTGTTGCAAGTGTATTTAAGAATAGGAAGTTAACATATCATATCAGTGCCCCTAAAAATATATCTAATGGCATAGGACATAAGGCGGAGTGGTTTAGGAAAAACAGTCTATGCTTGGCACCCATTAATATGCATTGTATGTCAGTTTCAGCTCATGGAAGATGCATTCTAGGAACTGGAGGGACTCCACACCCACCCACATTTGTTTCAAATTTTTTATTTTTTTTCAAAAACAAAGTGTTTTGTCATGTGTACATAACTACATAAAGAAAGACATTTCTAAAGCAATAACCCTCTACAACTTGTCATCCCTGGCCAGCAGATAACTCCCAGCACCATACATTGTTCGATCCGTCTGCTACATTGTACTTACATCGTACATGCAGTGCATACTTTTGAGAATTTCAAATGTATTCTTGTCTGTTCTATAGTGTGCATTTAGATGTAGATACTCTTATTTTACAGTGAATATGGATATTTTTGCTTTAACCTTTATTTCTCTTCTATCTTACCATTTTTTTCGGGGTGATAGCTCATATATGAGACTTCAAAGGTCTTTTATTTTTAAACTCTGATTCTCTCTGAGTGACTAGATGGGGTGTCCTGCTATCACCCTGAAGTGAAAGAAGTATTTGATACTGGAGGGTTTTTGTTTTATTCTTATCTAAAAACAGAGGGATGATAGCTCATATATGAGACTTCAAAGGTCTTTTATTTTGAAACTCTTTAAGTTTTACATTCACTCAGTCATAATGTGGTAGTTATACGTAGTTTGTCTTAGATTATTATTATTGATACATTAGGCCTATATAGTACATATTTTAATATGTTTGGTATAATTGTTATTGACTGAGTAATATGGCGTTATATTTGTGCCTCTATCCTGAGCACGCAATGAAACATGTTGAGCATAGAAAAAGCTATTGAGCGCGTACTTGAACATTTTTGAGCACAGAGAAATATATTTTCTCATAAAATTCCTGCTCCGTGCGCAAGCAGACCGCTGCACGCGCTCTCTCTCCCTCGTTCGACCTCTCCACCCTGTGCGCGCTCAGCTTTGCCTGTCTGCTCGCTCAAGTTGTCACAGCGTTACAAATGTGCCACAAAACCAACCAATCGGAGAACTCGAGAAGGTCAATTCTGATTGGCTGGTCGTCTCCAATCATATCTTCTATCTGAGATGAGAGGGATTTTCGGTTGCCATCAGGCTGTTGACGTTCTTATTACACATCCATCGTTGACATTTACAGGACATGACAGACTCGAATGAAGAGAATAGTACGCCACAGTGTCAGGTGAGTTATACATTTCTAGTTTTCTATCACGTTATTGTTTGCAATGCCTTTGACGAAACCTTTTATCCGATCGTTTCAGATAAGGGTGAGTTTGCTAGCCGGCAACATAGCAAAATGGGTAGTTTAAGAAAACAGCTAACAAACCGTAGCCTACGTGTACATGAACACTTCTGAGGTATTGATTACTTGCTGTAAGCATTAGAGGTGGCAGAATGACAAAACATGTTTCTCTCTCTATCATAATTTTGGGTTGACCAGAACCTGGACCAACTTCTGTTTCCTGTTCTACAATGGGCATAGAGCTTGCGTTCATTTTCAACCGGACAACTAAACAGATTAGGCTAGGATACCGGATAAAGTTAGCAACACACGTTAACCATGAACAGCCTATTAATCCGTTCTCCTAATGTTATTTCATCCAACGTTGTGGAATTAGAGAAAAGGGGCTTCTTAACGTGCTTTGATCCAGGGTGGAGGGAGTTACATATTATACTGAACAAAAATATAAATGCAATACTTTTGTTTTTGCTCCCATTTTTCATGAGATGAACTCAAAGATCTAAAATATTTTCTATATACAAAAAAAACCATTTCTCTCAAATATTGTTCACAAATCTGAAAAAATCTGTGATAGTGAGCACTTCTCCTTTGCCGAGATAATCCAACCCACCTCACAGGTGTGGCATATCAAGATGCTGATTAGACAGCATGATTATTGCACAGGTGTGCCTTAGGCTGGCCACAATAAAAGGCCACTCACTGATGATTATTTTGCTTTGCTAGGTTGTGACAGTGCACTACAACATATTTGATCTAATTAATTTTAGTCTAATTTATTTATCATATTTATATATG